ACTCCTCAAACCTGTTCTGCCATTCAGTGGCTCATTTGCGGCCTAACTCCGTTTAGCACTTTCATTTCAGAACCCTTGATACCTTTGGTTAACAAGAATTTTGAAACTGAGATTAATACAAACAATTGATCTAACATTAAAAACTGGTTTATCTAAAAGAGTTCCAAGCTTGCACCTCAAATTGATTTCTGATTTCCTAAATACTCAGCGAAAAGGAATGCAGCAAGAAGAACATCCCATTGTTTCTCCTGTGTTCCATGTTTTTTTTTTGCTGGTAAATCTCTTGCACCATTTTTCCCTCAATGAGTTCATGTGATTCTAGCTGGGTTGCATATATGGGACGAGATTGAAATGTTTCTTTCAATTAATTCAATACATAAATATGTGCCTAAACCATGTGAATTACGTTTCTGCAAAGTTACAGGCCCGGGTCTCATTCTGTTTTGTATTTTCACACTTTTTTTCTCTTGACGAATAGAGGGAAAACTTTGAAAGGATGAGCAGGCTGATTATTAACTTGCTTCAACTGCAAAACAAATGTTTTTTCTGTAGCCAACAAGTCCTGGAGTCCTGGAACCCTCAACTTCTCGTTTAGAGGCAAGGGGGCTACAAAGCCTCCATGTGTCTGTGTATAAATCAGCTTTCAGCAATAAATTTAATTTGAAATGTCATGAAGCTGTATGCAGGAATTTGAGTGTTTAACTCCTCCTCCAAGTCACTACTATTCAATCCTTATGAGAAGTGAGAACTGTAATGGCTGCTGAAAATATTTTTGGTAGTTACCAAGATAAAACCATCTTCATTGGTTGGATCTTTGACACATCATCATCTTTATTGATGTTGCAAACCGTGTTAATAAAATAGTCAGGCCAAGTTTTATCATGATGACAATAATAGTAGATAAATGCATTAACTTGAAGAAATGCATTTTTGAAAATTCTGTCCTCTTGATGCTTAAAATGAAGTCATTATTTTCATTTTAGTTATTATTTTGGGAGTCTGAGAAGTTTGTTGTCCTTGATGCAGTGTATTACACCTTTGGAGCTAGCTCTATAGTTTATTCAGTGAAGCATCTCTCAGGAACTGACAGCTTATGATACATTAGGAATTAGAAAAACTGGGAATCTATTGTACACTTTTCTTAATTGAGTGTTTAATATTGAGTCAATGGTGAAACAACGTACCTCCGGTTAGTTAAAGTACTTTGTCTGTGAGATTTCATTTGTGCTCTCTCCTACAGCAGCATAATAGCCTATTTTATTAGTTTGGTTAGTGCCATGTTGACTAATGAAGTCACCAATTCAGGTCATAGTGTTGGCACCCCACATTCAGTAAACCTGACATTGCTAACAGGCAATTTACCAGTAATTCCATCTTTTGTACAATGATTCAATTTTAAACATTAAATTCTTGCACATTTTTGTGGTGGGCAGTTAAATTTAGCATCTCTGGTAGTAGTTCAGGATCTCTGATGTGCTTGTAATGCCAAGTTAAATGTTCTGACTCTGATTTGCAAGTGTTGTACAGTAGAAATCATACATGAAAGCCAATACTGAACAGAAGATTTCATGTTATGATGTAAGGAAATAGGACTACTTCCATTGCCTGCAGCAATGTACTGCAGGCCCATACACTGCTTTTGTGGATACACTCCACAGAACCAGATGGGTACAGTATTTATAAAAGGCTGTCATGACGTTACGTAAATGAAGATATTTTTAATCAACATGTCCAGATGTGTTATGACACAACTCTGGAGCAGGTGAGAATTGAACTCAGGTCACCTGACTCAAAGTAAGGACATTATCACTGCACCATAGGTAAAGGGAATCGGCGATAATTCAGTCACATTTTAAAGTTGGTCACTTTATTTTCATTTTCAATATATTATGATTTGCCATTAAAATTAAACTAATAAAAGTTAGGGAAATTTGAGGAACAGAATCAAAGTTGGTGGGAGTGTAAAAGGTTATCTGGAATGAGAAGCTGGAAGATTTAAAACATACACACACCCACCTCTCTTAGGGAACGTAATTACAATGCAGGGAGTTTATTTAGGAAGTTTCCATTGTAAGTTTCAACACTGAAGTTTATAATGGAAAAACGTGACATGAAATTGTGAGAGCAGGATATGCAGACAGACCCAGAGATTGATCTCCCCTTCTACCTCATGCTGGTGGAAAGCAGTCTGGGTCACCTGTGTGGAATTCTGTCCAGGTTGCTATTTGCCAATATTGACATTTAACCGATAGTAAAGTTCCTGAAGTATTTCTTAGTATTGTATCAATCTAGAGAAAAGCAAAGTCAAGTAAACCTACTTATTTGTCATTGCTGTTGACAGTTGACATTTATTTCCTCAGGTCAATGCCCAATTAAACAGTCCTCTTAACTCTCCAACTCAGTCGCCAACACCATCTCCAGTGACAAATGTGACAAATGTCTGTCCTGCTCTAGCACCACTGCCACTTATTGCCCAGTTCTCCAGACCTGTGGGTCCAGCACAAGGTGAATACTTCTCCAAATACCATTTTTGAAATATTTTGACGTTTTCCTATATAGCAATTCTTATAATGCACAGAATGTTTACATACACAATGTATTAATTACCTCACTTCATAGTGATAGTGTAAGTTGTAGGAATGACATTCATTTAAAGTTACTGCAGCTTGTTATAATAAACACAGTTACCTGTTCAGTTCCTGCTTACTGTTATGGGTACCTCCTAATTACATGCAATGCTGTAACTGGAAGGTGAGTAATGTCAACTGAATGTCAAGCTTCAAGCTATATAGATGTCTTAAAAGATTGTAGCTTTGAATGTTTCTCTCCACTGATGGATGGTATCCCACTTACTGTGCTTTGGGCACAAGTTGCAAACTTAAGTTGCAGAGCGTGCTTGCAAAATCAATGTCTGTTTTCTTTAATAGGTGACACTCGTTATTCTTTACTTGGCCAGCCTTTGCAATACAACCTTCCTGTATGCCCACCTCCAGTAATCCATGGACAATGCCAGTATTCAACTCATCAGGTATGAAATGGAAAAGCATGAGAGGAACGCACTTCCTTTTCAGTAGTTTAGGGCTGGTTTTGGTTTGATTTTTGCACTGGAGGAGTATAGTATCACCTACTAGACTCTGTGGAAGACATCTGGTTAGCACCCAGACAGTAATGTCATCTTGACATTGCAAATAGGGAATGCTACGCTCAAAGCTCTGAGCTACATGCCAGTTTGTTTTACCTTGATTAAAATATTACTGTGTCTCAATAGTTTCCTCTTGGTGAGGTTTAATAAGATATGCAATCGGATAAGCTAGACTGAGCTATCCTCCATAGATGTCTGCCCATTTGTCCTGTGTGCTAATTGATGCTAAATATTTTCTAAGCTATCTCTGTGAATGAGTACCAGAGTTACCCAGTGGATGGACTTATTGATAATAGTGACATGCAGGAGGCCATTACACTGGAGGCTGGTGGAGGGAGTGAAAAGGAATGTGGTACTGATAGGGGACAGTATAGTCATGGGATAGATACTTTTCACTGCGGTCATGACTGGGAACTCCTACGGTTGTGTTGCTTGCCTGGTGTCAGAGTAAAGAACATAGAATCCCTCCGGTGTGGGAGCAGGCCATTTAGCCCATGGAGTCCACACCAACCCTCCAAAGAGCATCCCACCCATCCCTACCCTATCCTTGTAACCCAATGTTTCCCATGGCTAATCCACCTAGCCTGCACACTATGGACTATTTCCCATGGTCAATGCACCTAATTTAAACATCTTTGGAATGTGGAAGCTGGAGCACCGAGAGGAAACCCTTCCAGACACGGGGAGAATATGTAAACTCCATACAAACAGTCGCTGGAGGCCGGGTCCCAGGTGCTGTGAGGCAGCAGTGCTAACCACTGAGACACCGTGCCACACCATCTTTTCATGGCAACCAGGAGCGTCCAGTTAGTATAATCCATGTGAGTACCAACAATTTAGGTAGGGACCTGGAGTGATGATCTGCTGAGACAATTTGAAGAGTTAGGACTCAAAGTAAAGTATGCACCTTCAAAGAGAGTAATCTCTGGATTGTTACCTGAGCCACATGCAAACTGGTTGGCAGGCTGTAACTAGTGGAGTGTGCATGGATTAGTGCTGGAGCCTCAACCTTTACAATCTGTGTTAATGACTTAGATGACAAAACCAAGTGTAATGTATTTAAATTTGCCAATGATACAAAGCTAGGTGGAATGTAAAGCCACATGGAGCTATAGAAAGGGTAAGTGTCTGAGCAACAACATGGCACATGGGGTATAACGTGGGGAACTCTGAGGTATTCACTTTGGTTTTAAGAATAGAAAAGTAGGTGTTTCTCAGTGGAGTAAAGTCTCTTCATGTTGATGCTCAGGAAAGCCCAGTTGTACTTACACGAGGAATACAGAAAATTATACACCACAAACAAGAAAGCAAATGGTATGTTGACCTTTATTGCAAGGGAACTGGACACTAAGGACAAAGTAGTCTTGCTACAGTTATATAAGGGTTGGGTGAGACCACACCTGCAATTCTATGCACAGTTTCAGTCTCTATATTTAAGGAAGAATATACCTACTTTGGATATGGTACGGAGAAGGTTCACTCAATTGGTCGCTAAGATGAGATGGTTTCCTATAATGAGAGGCTGAGTAAATTGGGTCAACATTCTCTAGAGTTTAGAAGAAATGAAAGGTGAGCAGAAAGACATTTGATAAAGAAGATAATGAGTCAATGTTTCATCTCATGGGGGAGTCTTGAACTAGGAGGCACCAGTTTCAGAATAAAGGGGTCTCCCACTTAAGACAGAAAAAAGAGCAATTTCTGCTTTTGAGAAGGGTGTTTATCTTTAGAATTTTGCTCT